ATTTTATTATTTTTTTATTAAAGGGGGAAAATTTCAGAGTTGTTATTATCGGGGGGAAAATTTCAGACTTGATCCGAAGATTTTATAAATAAATGTTATTAATAATAATGTGTTTAAATTTGAAATAAAATTGATTTCAGATATATAGAGAAAAGTTGATAAATAAATTATCATAAGAAAAAATTTTATTAACAATTTATAGAACGTAATTAAAGAAACCCTATCTGAGGAGATTAAAAATATATTGAAAATATTTATTATAATATCAATTTTATTAAATGTTTAAATTCACGTATATTTTTCTCTTAAGATTATACAATTATCTAATATATAAATAATTAGATAAAATATATGAATGTTAAATCTTAATATAGTAAAGTTTAAAAGGTTTCGAATCTTCTTTTAATATGTAATTATTTTATTCATTAATTTTAATTGTAACTATTTGAAGAATTATTAGACTACTTAAACCATAAAGATAAGATAAATTTTTCTAATTGCAGCAACACTAGTTATGACAATGTAAAATAAAACGACATATAGTTTTTGTGAAACTTTTTAGAATCTAAAACCTATTTTTAAACACAACTGTCTGTTAAAAAAGTTTTTATTAGAGTTTTTGTTTAAATTTAAACTGATATGTTTTTGAAATTTACCTTTATAAATAGATTTTTTCTTAAAATTTAAACTTTTATATCATAAATTTACATACTATTTCTTTTTTATATTATAAACTAAACAATGTTTTATATTTGCTTTTAATATTATAATTTAACTTTTTAATAAATATTATTGTATTGACTTATGACCAAATTCTGTTTAAAATAAAATTTGCTGTTCTCTTTTTTTCAACCATGATTTTTTTCCATTTTCTTTTAAACTTTTTAAAAAAGAATGTTCTAAATATATTTCAAAAATAATATTATAAAAAGTAGTATTATTTTAATTGTTTGTTTATGATACTACAATTGTTATCAAAAAACTGTTAAAACATGTAATATAATCTTTTACATACTTAAAATATATTTTATTATGTCCTAAGAAATCAGTTTTTTTCCTGTTATAACTTGAGAGACAAAAGTTACTTTTATTTATTTTGAAAAGAATTTTCATTAATGAATATTAATAATTCAAAAACGTTAAAAAGAGACATGAAAATTGATAATAAGATAAATAACAGAGATAAACTGAATTAATTCGTTTATACATCTAATACCGATTTCGATAATAAATAATTAAACTGATTTATTTTAATTCAAATTATATAAATTTACGTTTATTTCACTAGCAATAAATCAAATGAGAAATTTTTTATAAAAAAAACATTTAAAAAGTTTGATTTATATTGTAAAAGATTTTAAATAAAATTTTTATAAAAATATTTCATTTAAAATCTTTTACAATATAAAACAGTTTTTTAAATTAAAAAAAATTTAAAGGATAAAACATGAATATAATTATTTAAATTTCTAAAAAGGTTATATTTAAAATATGTCAAAAATTTATATTTAAATGAAAAAAAAATCAAACCCTTATATTTAAGAGATGAAATTTATGAGTACAAGGATTTTTTTATTGTTACAATGGTTAATTTTACTTGAAAAAATTTCAACAAGCGATCCTTCAAGTTTGAATGTGAATGAATTATCTTATAGCAATAACAGTGAATCTTATAAAATTATTCTAGAAAAGGAGGAATTACTAATTAAGCAACTTAAAGAGAATAAAAAAGAAATAAAAGAAATATCAGAAAAATATCTTAAAAATCTAAACGATGCAGATGTAATATTAGAATTAAAAGATAAGATAAAAATCACTTTGAAAGAATTTTTAATATTAAAAAATAAAGCAAAAAAATTATTTAAGGATTATGAAGAAGAAGATTTTGAAGTTCTTTTAAACTTAATTAAAAATATTGGACAAAATCAACAAAATGAATTGATTAATGATAATGAAATTCAAGAGATTATAAGAGAAGTGGAATCTGATAATAAAATATTAGAAAATGTTAATGGTTTGAATGTAGATGATAAAGATATTGCTTATAAAAAAGCTGAAAATGATAGTGATAAAGAAGTTAAAACTATTAATGATGAAGAAAGATCAAATAATGTTAATGACGAAGGATCAAATAATAGTATTAGATTATCAAATATTAATGAAAGAGCAAATGATAGTGATGAAAGAGCTCAAACTATTAATGAAAATTCAAAAAATAGTAATGAAGGATCAGAAATTAGTGATGCTGTTTTAATAAATGATGAATCATCAAAAACTACTGATGAAAGATCTAAGATTTCTGATAAAAATAACCAAAATATTAATAGAAGCAAATCTTTAAAAACAAAAGATTCTAAATCTAATGATAACATCCGTTTATTCAAGTTAATAACTCTTTTTATTATTTCATTAGCTATTATTTCATTAATAATTATTGTTATTAAGATTAGTTATTTTAAGA